CTCCCCACAGTTTGATTTTTTTCAAGACTACATTGATGACTTCTCTTGAAATGTCAGCCTTTTCTCAGTACAGGCTATTTTGACATTGGTGCAAAGGTAAATTGGGGCAAACCTTAGAAAGCTCTAAATGCTGATCTCAGGAGTGTGAGTTTTATTCTATAGACTGTCCCTGGATTACAAATGTCTGATTCATGGCAACCAGTACTTACAAACCACCTCCCCTCAAGCCTGTCATAGTAAAATTTTGAGGTACATACAATGAATCATAACAAACTGACACTACTACTTTGTAAGATGCATCTAAACAGTTATTACTGTATTAAGATGTTAAGGATGTTTTCCTGTATCTGGGTTTCTTTGATGTTTTATGCATAAAAAGGTACACTATATACTATATTCTGAAACATTTGAAGGTTAGATACAAACCACACCTTACTGCTTAATCTTAACAAATTTAACTTAAAGATTTAGGAATGGAATTCAGTTGTGATCCAGGAACCACTTGTATACATCAGAGCTTCACATTAAACACATTTTTGACTTGATGAAATCAGTGCTTTAAGAAAATGGAATTAATAGATAGAGGGAGAATTGGAATGTGACCACTTGGAGGCTGCTCCAGAGTTTAGTCATTGCCTGGATATGAACGAGGCTGGTGGCAGTGAAGACAAGGCGCGATTAACAGCATTTGGTGGCTGGCTGGGTTTGAGATGCCTTTAGTGTTGGACAGAGAAAGGAGTAAAAGAAGACCTGGAGAGTTTCAGCAGTGGTGGTTGATAAGGACCAGAAAGAATTCGTTTTATTAGGAAAGTTGATGTTTGGTTTTTCAATGAGTATGACAGTGAGACTTCGAAGTGAAAATGTTGTGATGGCAGGTGGATGCACAGATAGGGTTGGGCAGCTTCAGGACTGGATATGGAGATTCTTTATGGACCACAATGGTCCAGTTTGCAACCCAAAATGGAAATGGGTTGCAAACCAAACCTCTTGGCATTTCATCCATTGTGCATGGGATCCCCATCATCAGAGGTGACGCCACAAGTTTGTGGAATGTTATGATCATCAAGTAGGTGGCCCGTGTGGCTCTATCACCAGATGTGATATCTCAGTGTGGTCTTAAGAAAACTAGACATGGTATCCTATTGTAAGATAGTCTGTGTCCTTCATAAAGTTGGTTTTAACAAGATACCCTAGCACATGAACTTGCATAATGAAAAAGCTCTTACTATAATGTTCAGCCTTTACTTTTGGCCCTCGTTTCTGTTATAGCACATAGCATGTGAGTTGTCTATACAGTTCTAACTTCTTCCCCCTCGAGACTATGAGTTCCTTAGTGGAAGAGACCCTATCTTTGAACCTGGTCCACTGCATCTGATAAAACTGCTTTTGTGGAATACACAATCAACATATTGTCAGTGTTAATTTCTATTACCATTGTGATTTTTCATCTCTTCTGCCCTTTTGAATCCAGACATAAAATAGTATGGGGCCAATCTAATTCTAGTTGCTGTTGTGGTATTGATGCTGGTTAGCATATTAGCAAGACAACAAAATCCACTTTATAGTAAAAAGTCTGTTTTTCATCAGTGGTGAAGACTTTACTGTTGTTGTTAAGTGCTGGTGAGTTGCTTCCAACTCATAGGGGACCCTGACACCCACTCCTTGAAAACCCTACACAGGGTTGTTATTAGTCGGAAGTGACTCATTGGCACTTAGCTACAATATTTAAGTGGACAGTTTCTACTTGTTTGGAGGCTGAGAGCCACATTTCCTTTCTTACATAAATACATGCAAACCCCAAGGTACGAATAACTGGGTGGGGCAAGGAATCATGCAGCTGAAGTAACTGTAAACTACAGGCACCATGACTGATCTGTCCTCTAGCTCTGTGATGCTTCTAACACCAAAAGGTGCTATTACAGAGGCACATAGGTTTTTAGAAGGAGACTATCATCTCCTTCCAAAAAACCACCCCATGGAGCAATTTAATCTCGCACACAAAAGGCTACTATGAATTCAAGTTGACAGCAACTGGTTGGTTGGCTGTTTGGTCACCAAAGGAAGTCAGATTCAGCCACCTACAACAAAAGACTGGGGTTAAGAAAAATAAAGTACATAAATAGCTTAGGTACCACAGTAGCACATTAAACACATTAAAAAAAAATCCTAATTGATCTTAATACTTTTTTGTGTGAGCACACTTGCTTTTACCCTTAGCAATCGAAAAGTAAAAGAAATTACCCACCCCCATTTTTCTGACATAAACATAAGCCTTTATGGTGGTGGCCAGGAGTTCTTTTGTTATGACTACCACAGTGATATTAATGCATGCACGAATTTAATTTTTGTCAAAGCATCTGGACTTGGAATGTAGACGCGCTAGGTCTGGTTGCACACACATACAAAAAGTAGATGACCAAAACTAGATTCTAAACCTTATTTGAAAAGGTGCTGACATACCAACCCCAGTACCGTTTCCCACCAGAGTATACCAAACAATTCATTTCTCTTGTTATTTTTCATAAGCAGAACTCCCATTTAAACACAGATTTATTATTTTTAAGAACCTCTGCACTTCTCAGGAGTCCTGGTGTGGTGACTGCTAACTGTAAGGTCGGCAGTTCAAACCCACCAGTCACTCCTCGAAAACCCTATACAGGGTTGCTATGAGACAGAACTGACTCAAAGGTACTTAATACCACTTCTGAGGGATGACAGAATTTCATACTCCATGATTTTTCAACTTCCTGGTTCCTAGGTCAGTCAATACATTACAGCTAAGCTTCCTTCTCATGCTGTTGTTAATTATTTCCCTACATTGGTAGGTTACAAAGTAAAGATTGTTGTTGTTGTTGTTGTTGAGTGCCATCGAGTCGGGTCCGACCCATAGCGACCCTGTACAGGGTTTCCGAGGGTGTAAATCTTTACGGGAGTAGAAAGCCTCATCTTTCTCCCGCGGAGCGGCTGGTAGTTTCGAACCGCTGACCTTAAGGTTCGCAGCCCGATTCGTAACCACTACGCTACCAGACTCCTATTCACTACAGAGTATTTTCTTCTGCCCAAATTAAGAATTATGAAGTAACCAAGGGACACACTCTTAAATAGTGCATGGGCTCTAGGGTACCTTGGTTTGTGTTTTTTTCTCTAGTATTGCATGAGTCATGCGGTTATTTATTAAACATTCAAACCCCGTAAAATATTATGGAGGTGTAGATCAGTTTTGCCTGTGCCTGGCAACTATAGATATTTCTTCAGGTATGTGATTAAGGCAGGAGGACTGGTTTGGGTTTTTTTGTGTGTGGCTGTTTTATTATTAGAAGATCTTTTTTTCCCTTAAATTGCCCTGATCTGAATTGAGCAGAATCAGAAAAATAAAAGTGAAACCAATGGAATAAGGGTCCAGAACTGACTTTGCATGGTTACTATGTATTTAGAGGATTTATTTTGTTGTTGTTATTAAGTGTAGTCGAGTTGGTTCAGACTCATAGTGACCCTGTTTAGGGTTTCTGAGGAGCAGCTGGGTAGGTTTGAACCACTGACCTTGCAATTAGCAGTCCAGCGCTTATCCTACAGCACCATACCAGGACTCCAGGAGATTCATTAGCCATTCCATTTCACCGGCATAAAACGTTAATTCTGGCACAATTGAATTATTAGGTCACCAGAAGGTATTAAATTAATAAAGACAAGATTAACAAAAAATGAGTGTAAACATTTATATGCCACACTATGTAGCTAAGCACTGGAATGCTAACCAAAATATCTGTGGTTCAGAGCCACCAGCCACTCTCTGGAAATGATATGCAGGGTCACTGTGAGCTGGAATAGCCCTGATGGCACTTACCAACAACATGCACATCAAGCTAAGCTTAGAAAAGAACTTGCCTTTGCCTTAAGGTCATGTTCAAACAATGTCTAATATTACTGTTACTTCTTGTAAATAGGAATGTTCAAACTGTAGAATTTAAAAATAGGCAGAGACAGGAAAACTATATGATGAATTCTCCTAAGTCCACATAATTTTACAAAAACAAAACAAACACATTTTAATTCAAGGAACACAGAAAAGGAATCATTTGGTGCCATGCTTTTATTCAAATGAAGGGGGGAGGGGGACTACACTGTACCAGGAAATAGCAAATATGACAGAGATTTACAGCACAGCATGTTAACAAAACCATGAGCAATGTTCTAGAGTAGACAGGTAAGCACACCATATACACTGTTCCATCGCCCAGCAGTGTCCATGAAACCATCATCAAATAGCTGCATTTGGCTTTAAACAGCCAAATAAAAACGGTTAAAAGTCATCCTAAAATAAAAAAATGAAAGGACTCAAGAGGAATTAAAAGCTTTCCAAAGGTGTGCCAATAGCAGACTGTGGCCATCTGCACTGGTGACTATGACAAGTGTTTGGCAAGCTTAACAAAGAAAGCAATTATCATGATAATAACCTGACTTCCAATGATGAAAGCACCAGTGGGCTGGCGAAAATCCCCAGACTTTATGAAATGGCATAATTTTCATTTGAATAATTTTAAAAACATAATTCCAATGAAAGCTGCAACATAAAAGAAATCTGCAAGCTTGAAGAAATGTATCCATTATTTCTTCTATATTAATAAAGTATCTTAGACTGAGAGCAATGAGCTTTTATGGCAACATTCACATTCTACCTTTAGACACTACAGAGATTTACTCCAATTGTTGGACATTTATTAAGAATAAACGGTGGTGCTATTTAGTTTTAAGTAGTTCTTTCACTGTCATGTATTCATCTCCCCTCTCCCTAATTTAATAGCCAAATAATATTGGGAGGAAAGTTGCTTTGATATGGGAAATTCAATTGAATGAAAATAATAAATTTAATAATGCAAAATGCTTATTATTTGACTACTAAAGCCCATTTTGATTAGGTTTATTATTTTTTAAACTAGTTTTAATTAAACAAGTAGTTGACAATCATTTCCTAATCATGATAGAAATTGTTGTCTTAAAGGTAAAATGTGCCATTCCCATTTTTAATAGTCATATATTATATACACAATATGTATTCACTTAAAATATAAGAGTTATATATCCTGGTCTTTTACATGCAAACAGTAGGTCACAAATAGTTTTGAGCTACACACATATATCTTGCACAGGTATTGGAAAAAAGTCTGTGCAATTTTTTTTACAGTTTTAACAAATATACATAAATATAAGAACATAAATTACAGTAAAATATTGACAGCATTTGAGAAAGTGTTGATAACCCAGATGCACTGATGCCTAAAGGCCTTAAAATAATAGAAAAGTACAGTTCAGGGACATCTCATTCCTATTCCTTTTTTTTTTTTTTTTTTAAATAAGTAAATACATCATATGAGACATTAATTATCTCCCTAAACCACTCAATTGGAGAAATGTGTATATTTTAGTCTCTACTACTTCCCATGAACGAAAACAAACTAAGCATCTCACTTATGATACAATACTGTCTTTCCCCCCAAAGTTTACACAGTTGTCACAACACTGAAACATAACAGGGTCACATAATCATTCAAGTCTTTTCCTGAGAATGAAGTTTCCCCCCCATCTAACCCTCTCTGGAACACACTGTTGAAGGAACAAAACATGTGGAAAGGAAAATTTAAGATTTCTAAGCTAGTTCACATGAAAAGGTTTAAAAAGAAAAAAGAAAAACTCAATGTAAGTAAAATACTGTGAAGCTATTTCAAAATTAAAATGTAGCCCTTTGTACATGTTTAGAAATTCTAAATATAATTTCCATATCAGTTATAAATAGAACATAAAGACCCCTTGAGAACTTGTAGCAGGAAGTCCTACATCTTCAGTCTGAAAGATGAATTTCAAAGTGTCATTCATTCACTTCTGCCAACTTCTAAAGTGACTTAAATTAAAAGATATAGAAAGCCTTTTTTGTTAAAAGAACAATCTAAATTATTCTGAGTTGGCCAGAAGTGGTATAAAAACGGCACTGATTTAATCAGTAACTTCTTGTAACAGACTCTTGGTTAAAACTCACATGGTTTAAAGCGAACCTACTAGCAGCTCTTTGACACCATTCTCCTCCTCTTATGTAATAGAAAAATGTTAATACTTGAGTGAATAATAAATACAGAATTGTAAATACTTAGAAGAGTAATATTTGTAAATCCTTTTACACCATGAAAACATGAGGGTTACTGAAAATCTAAACACTAGTGTTTTTCTTAGCATCATAAAGAAAGGTACAAGTTAGCTCTGAAGATGGATTTCCTACTCTCATGACCTCCACATTAAACAGAAAAAAAGATATCTTAGAATAAATCCCAGGAGAGAAAAACAGCAAAATAAACCATCTGAAGACAAGCATGTACGTTAAAAGATTTAAAAAGAAAATACAACAAATAAAACACATACTTTGAAATCTTAGCCATATTTCAACAATTAAGTCCAACTAGGATAGATGAAAATTCAGTGCTTCAACATATCGCATATCAAGCAGATGAACCTGACACCATGTACACATCTACACTTGTGAATTACAACATTTTCTTCATCACTTGGACTTATCACCTAAGTGAGAAGCTTCTGTACTCCAAACTACTGTGGTTTACATTCCAGTTGTTCCTGACAACAGAGCTTAGTGTCCAGTTTTAATTCATAAAAGTCTTGTTGGCAATTAGAAAGGTTTTCTATAGACAGGAAAGATGAAGTGCAAATTTACCATGAATGTTCAGAAGCAAATAGTTCCCAGCTCCTATGCCTTAGTGGGTAAAAGTTTTTTGGGTGTTACTGGTCTCTTGCTCTGCCACAAATGGCTGTGAATGGTAATCGCATCAACACTGGCAGATAAAGTCTTAGCAGGAATGTGGCTGAACTGTTTCCGGTCAGAGTTGTATTTATAAAGCCCCTCAATCATTTTTTTACTGATAGATTTAGGGCCTATCCCTGTCAGTTTACTGATTTCTTCAGTTTCTGGGCAGTAAGTATACAAAGACCTGAACTGGCAGCCTGAATCCCGGAACAAGATTAAGAAGTTGTTGGCATCTGACTTCTCCATTTCCTTAGGAAGAAAAAAACAAGACAAAATAACAAAATGATACCTTCAAACATTTTGCTGAATGAAGCTGATAAAACTGTGATAGTGCTTAGACAAATTTTACATGACGTTTAATCTAAAATATAAATTCTTAACAGCCAAATTAAGATGATTATTAAATAAAATAAAACAAGCTTTAATTAAAACTGTATGCATACAGCTCACCTTTGGCTATTGCTTCTACTGACTCTGTGTGGATATTACAGTCCGTTGGAAACTTTAAGACAGGACGTCTGTGCTCAGTCCTGGTCTTAGACAAACTGTGACCACCATTCATGAGCAGACGCTGATTATCTCCTTTGTTATGTAACTTCATTTCAAAAAGAAAATGATGGTGTCCACATTCATGAAATGATAATGAATGCGAGCAAGAAAATGGTATCTAAATTTATTCCTCCTTTTAAAGTATATCTTCACTCTAAGAACCCAATCTGAGGGTGAAATAAGTCAATCTAATAATTTAAATTTACAGTTTTAGGTCTTTTAGCTCCTGTTGAAAACTCTAGGCCCATAATGGGTGTTTCCTTTTAAAACGATAGAGAAGACAAGAAAGACTGCTAACCATTTTTAGAATAATGCCAGATTTAATTTTCACAAAAACATGCTTACCTCTAGTATTTTTTTCTTCTGACCTTCATTTACTTTTCCAGCCAAACAGCAATGAGCTAAAGCATTTTGTATTATGTGTTTGTTGGATTTTGCACTGGGTTCTTTGTACAGCTTTGGTCCTGCATTAAAGTTTTAACAATAATAATTAAAAAAAAATTCCTAAGCCAGAAGCAATACTACCTTTGAATAATATAGTTGTGCCTACATTAATGAAACACTGTAATAAAAACTAAATTCTGTATTAGAACACTTCTGACTACTCTGGATAGTGCTTCATCAGAACAGTTTTTATCCACAGAGGGGTATCCTGAGGATGGCTCCATGGTCTTCTGAGGAAGCCCCCTGATAGCAATCCTAGACACCAGATGCCCATGAAAAGTAGTTAATAGTACCATCTTCTTCCTGCTTCAAACTTACGGGCCAAACTCTGTCCTTGATGGCAAGACCTGTGTCTCACTCTCAGCAGTGTGCTCACAAATTGGTGGGGGTGGTGAAAATGGGGGACCCTAATTGTAGGAATTATCCATTCCAGTGGTATAAATATTACTATGAGAGCTAATTTCAAGCTACCAGTGGCTCAGCTGCTTGCAAAATTCTTGAAAATTTAAGTGATTGCGTCACAGGTGGATGGAGGTAATTCTCTGCGCTCTGCTTTTCCCCAAAGTTGTTCTTCTTCAATGCCTTTTCATTTCATCTCTCGAAGTGTCCTGTTTCACTTCTTTAGTAACCTTCTTATCTACATGTGCTTCTTCAATTTGCTTTTATGTTAAAAAAAAGCCTACCCAAACAGAAGCTAAAAAAAACCTGGTGGAGATATGTGAGGCTGGATACCCTCCAAGATCTGGTGCATTCTTCTTAACTTTCAGAGTCTCTTTAATACTTATTAATGATGCACAACTCATCTCTAACACAGAAATCTCAGGGTTAGGGACAAGACTGTGGATTCTAATTCTGACCTCTTCTCTACTCCAGATTTATGCACTGTTGCTAGAACCTCTTCGAAATCTTCAGACCAAAAGTACAACACAGAAATGGCTAACATAGAAACATAGGGACAAGGTCTTAGTGGTATTGATAATTTTGCTTAGAAAACGATTTCAAGTCACCTGAGACAAGTCACCAGTAACAATGGATCTACCTGAAAAGTGACCACCTGTGTTCATTTGTTTTGTTCAGACTATCTTATATTTACCAAGAGGTGAGCCAATGAAACATTCTTAGTATGGCCTACATCTACTCTCATTACAGTGGCAAATTCAAGTGTTTCTGTAAAAATGCACAGATACCAACCTGTGTATTCTGTTCCAGAAGCCACTGAAGAAGTTGTTGATGTATTTTCCCAGTCTTTTTCTCCATTTCTACTGCCACAACGACTTGGAGATAAGAAGCCTTCTACAGACTCTGACCTATTTAGTAAATAGATTTTTCTTTTTTGCTTTCAAACAAAAAAAGAATGTCTGGAAGCTAGGTAAGTTTACGTGAAAGAACAAACAAAAATTAATATAAAGATGATGGTGACAACTTTGTTTTTCTTATTCATAACTATTTGAGGGGGCTACAAAAAGTTCGTGGAAAAATTCCATTATCTTTTCATTTCCCTCAAACTTTCCCCTTATACACCCTATAGCATGGTAAAACTAAAACCCAAACTAGCTGTCATTGTGTTGATTCCAGCTCATAGGGACCCTGGTAGAACAGAGTAGAACTACACCAACCTTTCAGTTAGCAGTCAAGCATTACCCACTGTATCACCATGGCTTTGGTAGTGGTTGTAAAGTGCTGTGGAGGTAGTTATGACTCACAGTGGCCCTGTTTAAGTTGTCTGATGGTGGGTTTGAATCGCTGACCTGTGATTAGGAGTCTAGTGCTTATCACACCAGGATTCCCTGGCTCTTTAAAGCATAATAAACCCACTGCCATTGAGACAATTCTGACTCACAGCAACCCTGTATAGGGTTTCTGAGACTGCAAATCTTTACAGGAATAAACAGCTTCATCTTTCTCCCAAGGAGGGTCTGAACTGCCATCTTGCATCATAGTTGTGGCTGTGCCATCGAGTTGGTTCTGACTCATAACAACCCTGTATAGGTTTCTGAGGAGCCACTGGTGGGTTTGAACTGCTGATCTTTCGGCTCAAGCCGATCTTGCAATCCAGCACCATTAACCCGCAGCGCCGGTTAATGTTTTCCCATATGAAAATGGAGAGTTAATGCAATAGGATGATAATACAAAGATTAGAACTCAGAACTAATTAACTACCACTAGAAACATTCTTTTTGGTCTGGGTATTAGTATAGTGTAAGAAAATGAAATGGAGTCCTTATGCCCTGGTGTGCTGCTCTGTAGGATAAGCACTGGATTGGTAATCACAAGATTGGTGGTTTAAACCCACCAGCCACTCCTTGAAAACCCTATACAGGGTCACTGAGTTGGAACCAATTAGAAGGCACTTAACAACAAAATAATGATATGCTGGCTTTTTTGGTGTTTTTATGAGAAGAATCTACATAGGAAGACAGTACAAAAGAGATCTTTCCTAAGTTATAAGCAAGGAACTTAAGTGAAAAATGCCCTTTATATTCCGTGAGAAATAAGTTATGAACTTTACATTTCTACAGACCATAATTTCATCACATCATACTAGCAATTACTCATACACAATTACTGTTAATGTTTCAAGCTTATAAAAAGTATCTCAGCTGTCAATAATTCTAAAAGATAAAATGTGAGAGATTAATAAATCAAGCTAATTTTCTAACTTATATTAATTTCTTTTAACGGAAACCCAACAATTCTAGTCAACAAAACTTACTAATTTTTTTTTTTTACTATGAATCATTGTTGTTCTAAAATATAAATTTAAAAATCAAGTAATTTTTTTGCTGGGAATTCTGTGTAATTTTGGGCACCACATTCTTTTCCATGAGAGATGCTCATGTGCTATGGATTTACCTTGGTGTCCTCTTGCCTGAATGCACACTCTCGTTGTCACCTGTATTCAGCGATGCCAAAGATAGGCTAGAGACTGAAAAAACACGATAAAGTCGTGACCCTGAATAAAGACAAAATTAGAAATTTAAAGGAGCAACAGCAAAGAGTCTGTTCATTAGATAACACCAGCTTATGAAAATTGAATTTCTGTGGTTTCTTTTTCTTTGCTCTTAACTAAATCTGTAATATGCTTGCATGCATATATGCATCATTTATTTAAAATTAGCAAGAAACCTATCTTTAAGAAACGATGATAAAATTAACTTGGTATTAAAACTTATTCCAAAAGGAAAGGGTTAATTTGAGACATACTATAATCCCAAAGGAAAAAAAAAATAGAAAAAGAATAAGGTATATTTTAAGGATATCTGATCTATAGATGAAAAATTAATTATACTAATTTCAGCCAACATTGGGTATCAAAAAAGCGTTTTCTTTAAATAGACAATGTTATATTGTTTTCCCCAGTTTTTGAATAGCTAAGGAATTCTCCAAATTTTCTCTGGTTATTGTCTTAAAGACTTTTTTTTTCTGAGTAAGAAATATGCATGTTATATATATGTATCTATAGATATATTCTCTCAACTCTTCTTATTAAGTACCTTCAAGTTGGTTCCAACTCATAGCGACCCTGTATAGGGTTCCCAAGGAGTGGCTGGTGAATTTGAACTGCCAACCTTGTGGTTCAAGTGACCGTGTGGTCCAGTGCTTATCCTACAGCGCCTCTAGAAATTATCGATTTAGATTTTACCATTTCTATCTTAAAAGGTGGGACTTGTAAACTTTTAATCTTTAGGAGAGGGCTTCAAAAAGTTTGTGGGATAGCAGAATGAAAAGCTAATGAAATTTTCCCACAAACTATTGAAGCATCCGTGCATATTCCTTATTATACTGATATGTTTCTATATGTTTCATGCACATTACATTTTCAAATGTGTGCAGGGTAGTTAGTACTAGTCATTGGGGAGACTCTATCTGGAGGCAGAGTTCCTGAATATGTTAGTATTTAATTGGATTTTTAGCATTCATATTTGTTCTACTGAATATATGCATGCACACATAATACACTTAAGTCATACAAAACTTCATTTGCTCATTATGATTTTCAAAATAAGGAGCATGCATATTCTCAAATCGTGTATCCAACTGAGCAGATCAAAGCACAGTCATGTTAGTACAACATACCAAGCTGGTGGTGGTGTTTTTTATGAACAGACTCTTCACAGGAAGTGGTGTTACCTGGAGGACCTTTTATTGGTGTTTTGGGGGATTCGATATGGTCTCTGTGAATAGATTTGGGGCGCTGTTTTTTTTGCTTTGCTACTTGAGGACGGGGTTTAATAACTATGTCCATATCTTCCATTAGTTTCAGCTGCTTTCGCCTCATGTACTCTTGCCTAATAAATTCTCTGCGTGCTCTTTCATCTTCTTTCTTCTGACGTTCTTCCTCAGTTTTACGCCTAAGAAATCAAATGGTTAAATTTCTCATTCTGCATACCAAAGACAAAAACAGACATTGGAAAGAGTATGTATGTGACATGAGAAGAGAAAATTATTATATTTCTGCACCCTGGGGGGAAAAGGTTCATCTAGAGAGTACTTATTGAGCTAATTTAGGTCATTTTAAAAAAGAAAATAGATAACCCAGTGAAATGATTCAATAAGAATGTTTCTAGAGATCTTTGCTTTGAACTACCTCAAAATGTAGCATCATAAAAATATACAGCCAAGCAATACTTTGGGAAAATTAACTTCTAAAAAGTATCAGAAATCTGCATGTCTATATATATGCCAAATGTCTCTTTAAGGATCTATTAATAAAAAGATGAAAGAGAAACTGCCCCTTGCAGTGCCTACTCACCACACTTTTCTAAGAATGCACATGCAGCATTAACGCACAGCAATCCCCTTTACCTAGTTTCTTCTTTCTTGTGTTCCATTTCTGCTTCCAACTGTTGTTTCCGAAGCTGAGTTTCTTTCTCCCTTCTTAATCGTTTCTCCAACAAAGCTGCCCGCTTCATTGCCATATCATTTTCTGCTTTTTGATCATCCTAAGGGTGAATTTGGTTTGAAAAGATGAAATTTTAGGCACATTAGTGGTTACTCTTAGGACTGAGAAACTGATGAATTTATTTAACCTTACTCCAACCCCACCAAATATGGCCATGTTTCACTATTAAGGAAGAACTGAATATGGGCAACAGTTCAATCAAGTAGCAGAAGACAATTAAAAGCAGAGAACAATTAAAATCATAGAACAGTGAAAAACAATAACTTAAGAGTCAAGATAGCTCCCTAACTTTTAAAACTGCATTATATTTAAAACACATGTTCAATAGAGAACATTCGGGGAAAAGTTAACAAAAAAATTAGCTACTCAGCGCTATAACCACATAATGCAACAACTACTTTTTTTGTTTTTCTTTTTTAAGGTAAGGTTCTGAAAGCTTACTTGATGGGTTTTGAACTGTTCTGAAGGATTTTCCTCTGAAGAGAAGATGGGCATAATTATTCTCTTCTATAGTACTTAATCTGAGAGCTACTTTATGATCTGTAGGCTACATGGGTCAGCCCTGGTTTGTACTTCAGTCCTTAGAAGACAGTCCCAGTTCTGAAGGAATTTCCAAAATGCTTGAGAATTCAGTACAATACTATGGATCTAGATTTTGTGTGTGTCTTGTTTTGTTTTTATGAGAGACTGTCATGTATCTTTACAAATGTAAGAGCAGTAGAAGTAAATAACTGGGACCTCATAAAAATTAATCGCTTATGCACAGCATCAAAAGAATAACATATAGGCTGCAGGAAAAAATCTTCTGGAAGACATTTTCTGAGAAGTGGACCTTTTATACAGAAAGCGTCAATAACTCAACAAGAAAAAGACAAGCAATCTGATTTTTACACAGACAAAAAACAATACATAGGCACTTAATCAAAGAGGACACTCAAGAGGCCAACAAACACATGAAAAGATATTTGTGATCTTTCGCTATTAGAGAGATGCAAATCAAAACTACGATGAGCTATCATCTTACCCCTTTAAAAAAGGCACTGATCAGAAAAACAAAACAGCACATATTGGCAAGGAGTTGGGGAGATAGAAATTCTTATCCATTGATGGTAAGACTATAAAATGGTAAGGAGCTTCCTCAAAACACTAGAACTATCTGGTGTTCCGGCAATCCTACTCTTAAGTAGATACCCTAGAGACCTAACAGAAGTGACAAGACCAGACATATGCATATCTGTGTTTACTGTAGCATTATTCACAATAGCAAATGGACAGGAACAACCTAACTGCCCATCAGTGGATGAATGGATAAGCAAAATGTGGTACATATACACAATGGAGTACTATACAATCATAAAGATGAGGCCTGGAAACATAATTTGAATGAATCTAGAGGACATTATAAGGAGCTCTGGTAAAGTAGTGGTTACGAATTGGGCTGCTAATCTCAAGGTCAGCAGTTCGAAACTACCAGCTGTTCTGTGGGAGAAAGATGAGGCATTCTGCCCCCATAAAGATTTATAGCCTCGAAAACAGAGACACTATGAGTCAGAACCGACTCCACGGCACACTACCACCACCACCAAAGGACATTATGCTCATTTAAATAAGTCAGTCACAAAATGGCAAACAGTACAAGATCCCACTTTCATAAAAAAATCTATATATATACGTATAGAAACAAAAGAGCACTGGTGGTTAGCAGGAAGAAGTGGGTAGTGAGAGGGAGAATAGCTCTTTTAGACAGTTGTTGTTAAGTGCCGTCGAGTGGCGTCTGAACCATAGCAACCCTGTATAGGGTTCCAAAGAGCAGCTGGTGAGCTCAAACTGTGGACCCTGTGGGTCAAACAACTTTGCAGTCTAGCGCATTAACTCACAGTGCCACACCAGGACTCCTTTTAGATAGTTGTTGTGGAGTGCCGTCGAGTCAGTTCCGACCCATAGCGACCCTGTATAGTAGACACTTGTTATTTCTGGTGACGGAAAAGGTAATGCTAACTGTCGGTGAAGTGTGTACTGCTTGACCATGTATATGATGTCTTTGTAAGTACACACACACACACAGACATTTTTGGTAAATGCTAGAAAATATATTAATTTTGCAGCAACAACCCCAAAATACATATGAGGGGGCTTTCAAAGAGTTTGTGGAAAAATTCCATTGTTTTTTAATTTAATTTTTCCAAGAAATATTTGAATCCCCTTCATATGTATGTATATGTATGCTTGTGTATATATGAGGAGGTTTCCAAAGCTCATGGAAAAACTGAATTAAAAGTTAATGGAATTTCTCCACAAATTTTTTGAAGTTCCACTGTAGATACTTTACAGTTTGGTATATATTGAGCTAAAAACATGCAGTAAGAGAAAAAGCAAATCATCAAAAAGCAGTTGAAAACTGGGGTCAGAGGTACCACAGTGTGAGTTTATTTAGGGTACAACAGGCAATATCACACAAACCAGCTGCCTTCACATTCATTCTGACTCATGGCTATTCCTAATGTTCAGGGTGGGCAGTGCTCCATAAAGTTTCAGAAGTAGACTGCTATAATTTCCTTACAAGATGACTCTGGGTGGACTAAACACAGCCAACCTTGTGGTGAGCAACCAAGCACTAGACACACTAAGGGGTATGTAGTTAACTTCTTCCTAAGGAGTATGCAGGGCTTCAAACAAAGAAGTAAAGCTTGATTTTACTTTTAAAAAACAGTCCTCTTGAAGTTACAGGGGAGAAGGTAGACAATAGCTTTGGGTTAGTCTGGAAATTCCGTGAAAGCTAAATTAAGGAGTTTAAACTTTATTTTGGATAGACAAAGATTCAAGTGGAGGTATGCTCTTAGAATAATTACCTCTACTTGCAGTACAAAGACAGAATGAAGTGATCAGAGGCAAGGAGCCTAGTTAAGAAGCTACAACCACAGTCCAAGGGATGAATATTGGGGCACTGAAGATAGGAATGGAAATGAAGGTACAGATATACTGTTTCACACTAAAAATTGTCAAGTTTTTGTTCTCCCTCTGTTTTCCTTTCTCTGTAAGAAAGAGAGGTAGCAAAGTTCTCTAAAATGAGGCAGTAAACTTTAATATCTGTTATGAATCTACAGTGGCAGTCTATTAAAAAATTTACATGTTTACGAGACAAAATATGACTCCCCTCCGAATTTTTAAGCATTGAAAAAGGCCTAAAGATCAATCACCCCAAGGTCAACTTTAAAGTGAGTTATAAATGTCCAATATTAAATGGTCAGAAGTAAAACTAGCTAGTGTACATCACTTGAGTATTCTGGGGTTACTTTCTCCAGTAGGACTATGTGTGTTTCAATTTAAAATCTTAAAATTATTAACTGCTATTATTGTGTCTTGTCTTTTCAATCTACATTCCAAATTGTGCAGCTATATGGAAGCAGAGATTATTATTTACTTTAGTCCTTAAATAAAGAAATATGAATAACGCATATATGTCTATTCTTAAAAATATTATTCTCTATGTTGTTATTATTAGGTGCTGTCGAGTCAGTTCCGACCCACAGCAACCCTGTATAGGGTTTCCAAAGAGCAGCTGGTGAACTTGAATTGCAAACCTTGCGGTTCAAACCAATTTTGTAGTCTAGCACATTAACCCAGTGTCACACCAGGACTTCAGTACTCTATTGTTATTGTTGTTAAATGCATCAAGTTGGTTCCAACTCATAGTGACCCTGCATAGGGTTTCCTAGGAGCTAACACCAGGACTCCATTATTTTCTATAGGTAACTGAAATTAATTTGGAAAACAGAAAAAAATAAAGATGAAAAATCTATGAGGATGTTTAAAAATACCATTAGGCTTTCTAATATCTATGATACATTCATTATAAGATATTCACCATCAAAAAGTGATGCTGTTCCTTATTTGTTGGTTGACTACAGAATTGTAAAAATACCAAGATTAGAAGTCATGTGCTAGACCTTTACCCAGTGCTTTAAAAGGAATCTTTTCACTGACAAGTGTTCAAAATATATATTCTTTTAAAAATGTTTTTAAAAAGAAAAAGCATGTAAGAAAAGATATTCCAAGATTGGAAAAAAAATGCCAAGTTATAAGTTTTTTACAAATTGGCACTGAACTATCTTTTTGAAGAGATTTAAGAAGCCTTATTTTTTTAAGACTTTGTGAAAGTGAGATGGAGAAAAGACAGGCAGTACATCTAAATACATACAATGATGTTGATAATAGGATTTAGTATAGCTTTGAATCTGTGTCAGAAGACTATTTTATAAATCACAGTATGCTTAAATGCTATGACGTTCTCCAAGGAGAGTGCTAAAATAGGATTTATAATTAATGGCAGACTTGCAACCAAATGGATTGCTAAAGAGAGCCAGCATATAAACTCAATCAACAACAAACAAACAAACAAACACCCATCTACTGAAGAAACCCCAACTATGCAGATTATTAGTACTACCTTAAAAAAGAATCCACAGCATACTTTCTGGTCATCATCACATTGTTCTTTATCACTTTCTCCATCATATTTTTCAACGGCTACATCTGCCTTTTCAGGGGGTTTCAAGTCTGAGAGGGAAACTTCAATTAGATTAACGTTTTTAGGAACTGTGGGTGGGAAAACAAGTTTCGGAGGCAGTTCTGTGGGTTGGTTCCGCTGGTCCTCATTTGGTGTTAGACAGACAGTCTCTGTGATAGTTTGTGATAATACTTCCGACACAGTTGACTCCAAAGGTTTGATCTCCTTTTCTTCTGGATTATGTACGTGCTGTTCCAAAGTCTCCTTGGGTTCCAATTCTTCCTTTTTAACTTCTTCTTTTGTTTTGGATTCCTTGAGCTGAGGTTCCCCATCATCTCCAAAACATACAAATGACCTAGTCTGAATAGGAACCTGACTTGGTGAAAACCTCCTTAACCGAGGAAGACTATCAACAGAACGAGGAGCTGTCAAGGTTCGGTTCAAAGGAGTTATTTTTAATTCATTTGGCCTAGGAGTCCTTGAATTTTTAACAGAAAAAGATGTGCTCCTCCTGTTAGAAGATTGTGGAGATGGGTGAGCAGGCCGAGGGGAGTCTGAGGAGAATGGTGCAATGGGAACTGACTGGCATGCCTGCCTGGAAGGTTTAAAATCTCGAATCTGTTTCTGTGGAGAGGGCTGTGGAGGTGATATCACCCAAGACTGTTGCTCTCTCATCTGCATTAACATTTCCTGCTGAACTGACAAGCGTTGCATCTCTTGTTGTAGAAAATGCAGAGATGAATTTAACTTTTCAATGGACTTTGTGTATTCTAAAATCTCTCCTTCATTTAAAGTTTCTTCTGAGGGGCTTGCCAGGTTCCACTGCTTCTCAGGATCGACAGGCGTGGTTGGAGATTTTAGCCATTTGGCCTGAGGATTATCCATGGTCTCTTTGATATCTGCCAGAGACTTGCTCCTCTGTCCATTAGCTTTTGGAGGTTCCTTTTCTTTTGCTCGATCAGTATATATTTTCTCATCTTCTGCACCAGCTGCTTCCTCTCGAAGGGGGGAGATCCCATCCCCTTTCTTTTTCACTACAGTGAGGAATGCAGTCCTTCCCATTTTCTGCCTCTGTTTGGTAAAAGCAGCTTCCATTTTCTTCTTCTGGGCTTCTATAGCACGCCTCTTTTCTTCTAGCTTCATCCTAAGATGCACCATTTCCGAAGCCAACAACTGGGTAGTGTCCCGTCCTTGTGGAAGGCCCGTTTCTTCTGGAATTTGCGCCCAAGCAACCACATGTGGAATATTCAGTTCAGAACCCTCTGGTGTCGTTTTCTGAGAACTGCTTCCACTACTCTTTCCATCAGTGTGATTCAGTTTCCTGAATTTCTGTTCAGCAAAGCTAGTCATTTTAACTCCCGAACTTGAAGAAGCACTGCTGCCGGGTCGTGACTTGGTGCTTATTGTACTTGGACAAGGACTCACAGATTCTCTGGCGTTGCTGGTTCTCAGATCATAATCCTGTAGAAATTTAGATGCATCGTCCATGTCAGAGTCCAAGCTTACAGTATAATCTCTCAAAGAAGAATCTTCATCCATAGTTTCAGGAATATCTTCTGAAGGAACATGAATTCCAGTGTCTACTTCAGTATTGTCAGTTATGGGACTCAAGGCACCTTTTGTATCAGATATGTTATCATGGCTAGACTGAGTTAGCTTGATATTTGAATTCAGGATACTCATTTCCTGGCTGTGAAGAAAGAAGCCATTAGCTATTTGGTCAGGCTGAGGTGTGTGGGGAGATTTTTCAGTATCATGAATGATTTGTAATGCTTCTTCAATACTTGGTGTTAAGATCTGATTGCCAAACTCATCTAGAAGTACTCTATTTTGCAAAGCTCCATTTGGAAGCTGATAATGAACATTCTCATTAGAATTTAGTTCATTTGTATTAAGGGGCACATAAGATTTGAGGTCACTGTGAGGGTCTATGTTAAGTTCTTCTTCAATGCTTTCTGTTTCCTCTTCTCCATTTATTGGCTTGAAGGACAAATTTTTCCGAATGTGTTTAGCCACACGATTATTGTTCAGAGTAAGTCCTTCATTACTAATAGAACGAATAATTCCTCTGTTTGGAGTAGATTTCGGCACACTATTTTCTTTATCAAAAGAAATATCAAATGAAACTCCATGCACTGATGATCTAAAAAAAGAGAAAACTCTTAAATAAACTTAGAAAAATAATTGATTTTGATATCAGTAAACAACAATTACTTGAATATTTCATTTTAATTTCTTATAATCATACTGCCCTCAAGGAAAGTTAGGGCTATCTAGTTACTGTTTAAATTTATCATGTTTGACTTCTCACTTATCATTTGCCAATGTAGTCCTTTTCAGATTTAGTTACCAGTTAAAAGCCTAGATTTAGCAATTTGATTAACAACAATAAAAAAGACATTAGTGGCAAGGTGAGGAAGGATGAAGTTAACACTTCTTGACAAAGTGAACAAGCGCATTTCCTTTGCGTACCTTTTCTCTTTGGGCCATGTGCCTATGAAGCCATCAACATAAGACATAGATGAAGACCTCCTAATTCCTCCTTCACATGCAAAAAAGAAAAAGTCACTGACATCTTGCAAAAAATTTTACCATAACAATTTAACATTTTACACACTAGTAGCATTAAAAAGTAAAAGCAAGCATGGAGCAACAGATCAACTTTTTAGCTTATGTTCAAACAGCTACTTTTAAGAAGAGAGGCTGGATATATATTTTTTATTTATATTTATTCTCAATCATTTCCCAGTTAACTATTTAGAATGCACTTTCCTAGACTTCTTCAAATACATTACCTGAGGCTGAAGAATGAGCTTGGGGACGTGAATGTCTAGACAGCAAATGATGCCGAGACTGTGTAAATGTAGCTCCCTCCTCACTGCGATGAAAAAGAAATTGAACAACTCAGAATGCATTTTATCCCTTAAATATAAGCTTTATGCAGAATGGCTAAAGTTATAAACAATATTATCATCGCCAATGTTCCATTCTAAATTTAAAAAGTTAAGGCAACATATTGTTTAAACCAAAGAAAACTGTGATCACAATATACATTTCTCTATTTTATCTTTTAGTCAAAGAGCTTAAAAGTATTGTCCTATATAACAACGTCTTTGTGAGATAAAATATGACATATTACTTTCATTTTACAAAGAGAAAAACTGAGATGTAGAGAAGTTAAACTAGATGCATTAATTTAAAATACTTTGGTCTAATCGAGATCTCTGAAAAATACATAGGTATAATCAACCCTGGAAGCCTCCTTGCTCAAAGACCTAATGTTATGGCAAAAGTAATACAGTGAGCTGCACTTTAGAGAGACCTCAGTGCCTCTAAACATATGAAGCTTCCCTGTTGTTTCTTCAACCCTATTCAGTTAATGTAGGGGACTACACAGTCTATCAAATTATAATGACATCGGACATGAATCAAACTATCTTCTCTTTATTTTTCTGTGTCTAGTTTTAAAATATGCCCACCACGCCCTATCTTGGAGTCAGATGAAGAAATGCAGCCTGCCCACATCCAACTGGCAGAGAATACACTGGGGGAATAGGATGTAGTGGCTTCTGTAGCTTCCTCATACCACAGTATCTTTTGGTTAACATAAACTGAGAAGATCACAAATCAACCAAAGAACTCTAAGGTGAATAGCGATGGTGTCTTTATTCTTACTATTTATTTACAGTTTAATTAATGAGCGTTCCCAAAAGCAACAATACCTGAAAAATTTGCATACTCTTGTTCTATTTGAAGGCAAATGCATATCTGCTTCTGTGGGCCTTTTCCCCCTGAACTGCCAGTTACTTTGTGTCTCAGTTTTGTTTTAAGTTCATTTGCTAGAACTCTCAGAGAATTCTTACCCTGCTCCCGTCATGCTTGTTTCTATTATCCCTTCTCCTAAAGTAATTTCCATTCCACTAGGTCTATGAGAGAGTAATCCTGCATGTAAGTCATTAAAATTAGTCTTTGTTTTTTCTTTTCTTCTACAAACAATGGCTAGAGTATTAGAAACTCCTAGTTATGGCCTCATTTTTAAATTTGCATACAAGATTTTGGTATGGCATAACTCTTATCTAAGGATATGGAGTAGCTGCTAGACAGGACGTTTGCTTGGCTCTTTTTCCATTTTAGCCTGTTTTTTTTCTTTCTCGTAAGATCATTATTTGGAAGCATTAACATTTGTAGTACATTATCACTACATTATTCCTAGGAAGAAGAAATTCTTGAATGCTTTCTCTTAAACTTTATAATTAAACCATATGAGAGGGTTAGTAGGAGCCTAGAAAAACGGTAACACTAAGACTGTTAAAGGAAACTAATTTAGACGTGTCTGGGTTACAAAATATTTCTTTACTAGGAAACATGGGAAAAGAGTCATTTGGTGTCTCAGAATAGAGACAAGCATGGAGAATGGAGGTTAGTCTTTTAGGGGAACTAAATTAGGATATTCTCCCAATATCAGAAATTTGAAGACTGTCCACTCAGGTTTCTAGAAATAATAACTATGGGATAATCTACTTTTTGGAGTCCTGGTGTGGCATGGGGATAATGCCCTGGACCTCAAGGTTAGTCAGAACCACAAGCTGCTTGCTCCTCAGAAACTCTATACAGGCTCGCTCTGCATTGGAACTGACTGGATGGCACTTAACAACAACCATCGCCTACTCTTTTACTAGAAAGTTTCATAGATTTACAAGATTAAATAGTATAAAAGTGATGACCTAAAATTACTAGGTATTTTCTAAAATTTCAAAGGAGTAAATACCACTATATACTAACCTAAGAAAGCACTGAGGAAATAAAAATATGCAGAACAGAAGTTTCTAGATCAGCGATACTCTAGCTAGCCTCTTTGTGAGAAATCTCAGGGACAGTTTTGGCATAGAAAACTTAAAGGGAAGTAGTAAGAAGATTCACTGCAGCAAATCAGAGGGCAAGCAAGGAATTTCTTTTTTTTTTGTAGAACATCAGGAACATCAGATAAATTCCAACAGATAAAAATCCTAAAAGGTAATGAGAATGATGAGAGTTCTGTCAAGATCTGAGTTTCACATTCTTTAGTGTGCACTAGAGAAAATTCAGTGTCTGTTATTCATAATACAGAAAATATTTTGAATTTCTTGTTACTTTAATATATTTTAGTTATTGTAAAATATGTATAACACATTTACTAATTCAAAAATGAATTTTAATAGATTTGTGTGAATTTCTAAAAATCCTCAAATTATATCAATTTTAAATTTTAAAAAAATCAGATAGGGAATCCAAAATCAAAATAAATTTTAGGTTCTAATAAATATACATTGAAAATCTACCTACAAGGATCCATTTAAAAGCCTCTGTCAACAAATTAACATTTTCATCACATAATTGGGTTAGAAGTCAGTATTCTCCTTACACTAAATGGTAGGACATTTTACTTTGCTTTCAATTAAGCTCCTGATAACAAGAACTGAAGCATTAAATAAGGACTCAATATTGTAGCAAATATTGTGTTATGGTGTCCCAGTGGTTGACAGGAACTAATAAAACATTAAGAGATACTGCCTCAAAGATTAAAAAATATCATTTAAAAATATGTTAAAACCTGATAAAAATTTAAAATTCCCCCTGAGGCCTAAAAGCTACCTTTCAGCCAGTTCTCAAGTATAAACAAAAGTTAAGCTGCAAAAGTGTGGTTTTAAGTTGGCTATTTGGACTTTGAAGCCCTGATCAGTATTGGACTGCTAACCACAAGGTCAGCGGTTCAAACTCACTAACTGCTCCTCGGAAACCCTATAAAGGCTTGTTATGAGTTGGCAGTTAAAACAATTGGACCTTAGAATATATTATTCCAATTTCACTATGGTTCATAATAGTTTATTTATAAAATACTCATTGCTGTTAATTTTCAACATTTAAGCTAAAACAAGCATTAATAAGGTAATGTAATTAAGATAAAATCAGTTCAAATTCCTAGTGAAATTTGATGTAAAAAAATTGTAACTTGATTTCATAGTGAATAAAATGGAATTAGTGAAAATGACATCATTCTGAAATCTACCTTGAACAGAAGTCAGAACTATAGGAACTATCCAAGACATTTCTTTTGGCAGCATTCAAGACAGGAACTGAATCTTTCACAGGTTCAGCTGGAATAAAAGAAGAAACCTCAAAATTTTATGCTTAGCACATTTCCAATGTCATTTCAAGAGTTCTGGACCATAAATCAAAGTTAAAACTTTCATCTCAAAACCCTGTGCTAATTATAGAGAAACCATAGCATGTTAAAAATGATGATCCTAAATACTTTCAAAAGGTCAAATTTCCTTTAAACTCTTCCTGAAGTATTTTGACTTTATTAAAGCTAATTAGGGGGAAAGACATAAAATAAAAATAAACATATTTAAAATACAACTAAATCTGCGCATTTCATTTAGCTAAAGGGTTCACAGAGCTTCAATGACATGATAGTTGATATTTTGCTAATCAAATATAGAAAGCGACAATATTTCACTGGAGAACAATTAAACCCATGAGAACAGGTTGCATTTTTCTATAGAGCTCTGGAGAAAACTCAATCTTTATTTTTTGCCTTTGAGATGCAGTGCAACAGCTGTTAAGTATGCCATATGGAATAATGGAAAGCAATATATGTTGACAATCTTGTGCCAAATTGTAAAAAATTGTACAAATATTGGTTATGATCAGTACTAAAGATATTTGGCTTTCCTTAATTGCCTTAGGAAAGGAATGTAATTTCTTTCTAAGTATTCTTTGTTATATAATGCCTCAGTATTCCAAATCTCCCATAAACAGCTTAGAAATACCAGGATAGATAAGTACTCATTATCAGAGATTTCACAGAATTTTGCTGAGATGCAATAAACTGTCTGGATTAAGTGCATTCTATCTCCTAGAATAATATGCCACACACACCCACACACTCCACACCTCAGTTACATATTTTTTTTCTCCCTGTTGAGCTCTTTCTCTTTTGATTTTTTTTGGAGGAAGGTGGGAGTGAGGGTAGTGATTTAATAGCAAAATTCAGAGTCAGGAAAGTAGCTGGGATGCACAACAGCCAGTTTTGTGCTGGTGTGACAGTTACTGACAGCAGAAGGAACTGGTCCCATAAGTTATACTAGAGAAAGTTCTTTAGTGAGGCTGAACTTAGAATTAAGAAACATTTTTTCCCCCCTATAAAAAGCAAACATCTGGTTTTACAATGGAAGTCAATGAAAAGTTGTTTTGCTATATGCAATACTGCTTTACAGAAAATTCAAGAAGATTTTTAGTTCTTTTTATCTAGGGATTTTAACACTAAACCCCTTTTTTATCTCTGCCAAAGAAAGGCCTGACAATCCATTTCCAGAGAGACTACAGTCAATAAAACACTATGGAGCAGTTCTATTCTGTAATACATTGGTCACCATAAATAGAAATCAACTCGACCTCAGTGGGTTTAATTTCTAATTATTAATTTTAGTTTTAAGTGCTACTTTATTACATGTCATCAATAGATCATGATATCACAATAACCAAAAATCTATTAAGATTAATATATAATTTTTTATGGTTTAATGTCAAGTTCAAGTCATAGGTTAAAAGGCAAGCCATGACTTGAGGGGACTAAGGGTACCACATTGTTAAAAACTTGGACTCTGCTAGGGAATAAAAGCTAGGGATGTGAAAGAAGCAGAGAAGAAAGCGGGCCAACAATTAAAGCTAAAATTCCTTTGCCATAAAATTTCAACTTCAAAGTCATTCACTTCATTATCTTTTTCCTTTCCCCTCCATCTTAGTTGTCTCTCACAGACAATTTAGTGGTTTTAAATATTAAAATATTCAAAATCAAGGATAACAGCTGAAATAAAAATAATAGATTTCCCTCATAATTGCTGTATAAACCTTCACCAAAAACACTATAAAATGTTTTTTTTAAAAGAAAGGCTGATTACCTCCTTGAGGACAAACAACACGAGGCTGTACAAATGATGGCTTCACAACTTCAAACCACCAGAAGAGTTCTGCCATGAACACCAAATAATTACTCTATAAAAGAAAATTAAAAGAAATTAGGTAGCATTTGACTATAATTCAAAGATAAGTGAATATTTTTTCTGCTTTGCCTACGAAATAGGTTTAAATGTTATACATTCATCATCGGAGTATATAAAATATAAGGTATTAAACCAGGATAGGATGTAAAGCTTACAGGTAAAACAATTTTTAGATATCATTAAATCTTCTAACAAGTATAAGGAGCTCTGATAGCGTAGTGGTTACGAATCGGGCTGCTAACCTCAAGGTCGGCAGTTCAAAACTACCAGCAGTTCTGTGTGAGAAAGATGAGGCGTTCTACTCCCGTAAAGATTTACAGCCTCAGAAACCCAGTGCAGGGTCAATATGAGTTGGAACCGACTCCACGGTACTTAACAACATAACAAGTATTCAGAGCTTCTATGTTTATTTGTTATATAGAATGCTGATCTAATTTATCTGGCAGGTATTAATACCTCTAACTTGTAGTATTTGGAAAATTAAATTATTATTAATAATTTTACTCAGAGTCCTAGAAATTTCTTTTAAAAAAATTAAGTACAACTTTACAAGTCTATATTTTAAAATGCAGACATAATATAAAAGCTATGGACATGAATTATTTTAATTGTAGACATTTGGTATTTTTAAAACAGCACTGTACAAAAAATCTGCTTCTGTAATTTTAAATAGCATCATGTCTTTAAAGCTTTGGGCATTTGCATCTAGTAAAATTGTCATAAAATTTATTAATATTTAATGAATGAGGTCTTCATATTTAATTTTGGTGTTAAAAAAAAATCATTGGAAATAACGGTGCTTTGGTTTCCCCTCCTCCTTCTTGCTAATTATGAATAATCCTCAAGGCTCTGCACACTCCCTTGTATAGAGTGCATCCACTCTCTTGGTTCCATTTCCTCCATGTTTAATATTTCAAAAATTCATATCTTACTTGATAATTATAGAGGAGTTCTGGTGTGGTGCTGCTGTGGGTCTAGCACGCCAGACTGCAAGGCCATTTGAACTGCAAGGTTGGCGATTCAAGTTCACCAGCTTCTCCTGGGAAACCCTATACAGGGTTGCTATGGGTTGGAATCGATTCGACGGCACTTAACAACCACAATAATGGATGTCTTGTTGTGGTGCTGTAGAATAAACACTGGACTTTTAGCCACAAACCCACCAGATACTCTTCAGAAACCCTGTATAGGGTTGTTATGTGTTGAAGCTGACTTGACAGCACTTAGGAGCAACAACAACGTGGAGTAGGTTAGAAGGGATGGAAAGAGAAGAATCACAGGTGATTTCTAGGTTTTTGTCTTAAGCAACTGATATTTGCTTAGATGGAGACAACTGAGACAAAAAGGCTACTGGGGATCCTGGAAGGAATCATGATTTACAGCTTTGAGATGTTCATTTGACATTTAAGTGGACGTGTCATGTAAGCAGCTGAGGATGACTCTGGATCCTTATTGAGGATAGAACACAGCGGTGAATAGAATTTGGCTGTTTCCTACTTTACTTTCAGCAGTTGTTTTTAAATATAAATTCTCAGAAGAGTCAACCATCTACTACAAATAAACACTATGTTAAGTCATTAAATTTAGTAGTTTTTAAAAAGAAATAATAATGCTTATAATTCCTAAGGCAGTGTGATGGATGTGATTTGATTTGCAATTTCAGAAACTTTGCATTCTTGTTGTTGTTGTTAAGTGCCGTTGAGTCGATTCCGACCCATAGCAACCCTGTATAGGGTTTCCAAGGAGCAGCTGGTGAGCTTGACCCACCGACCTTGCAGTTCAAACGACTTTGCACTCTGACGCATTAGCCCACAGCGCCACACCAGGACTCCAGTATACATATTTCTTTTTCCTATACACAGGTTTCCCCCCATTATCCAAAAGGAGAGTGCTGAAATGGCGAAAAGAAAAGAAGCAATTAGCATTCATTAAATGGAAAAAATTTGAGTATTCTTAGAACTTACCCAAATCATACCAAATAACACATAGAGCCTAAAATCATATTACCACAGTGTTTGTTCACAGACACAGCTCAAAGTAATGTTGATTTGAATGCTGGGGAGCATCCTAAATCTCTTAGGAATTCTCCATCTTCATCACAACTACTCTGATTCACACTGTTCTCATCTCTGAGACAAAACCGCTTTTTTTCTGGTTTATTAAGAACAAACTTTTCAAAATATAATACAGCCTCCTTTCCATTACTCTTAGGATAAAGGGGAAACATTGGCCAACAAGGGGATACTTGACTGGACCCTTTTTTCTCTCCCCAACTTCATCTAACACCACACTCTCCCTGGTTACCTAACAAACTCTTCAAGCTGTATGGTCTGTATGTAATGGCAGATTATTCTTATTGTTGTATCTCCAGTACTCAAAGCAGAGCCTGGGCACATGACAGATGCTCAATAAATATTTATGGACTGATGTATAAATGGGGATATACGCATAAAATACAGCACGTAAAATAGCAAAGCACTGATCGGAACTTCTCTGGGTCAAATACTAGTGATTTGTGTATGTCCTTTACTCTTACACTTTATAGTACACTTTATAAAGTCAAAGTATAAAATTTTTACAGTACCTGTACTGAATTTCGCAGGTATTAAAGCTGATTGTATCTTTTGGATAAATACAATGTTCATATGCTCAAAATTCTCTGTTGACTGGAAATGAATGAGTACTTTAAGGATCTTGGTAAGATAACCATCCTATTGACGTAGTATCATTGTGTTTGGCCACAAGGTGTCAGTAAAGTAAAACAAATTTCCCAGTACTTCTAAAGCTCATGAACATTTTTTTCTGAATTTGTTATGATCAAACACAACCTGTCACCATATTCCATGAATGATATCAAATTCATTTAAGAAGTTTCTTCTTTCCTTCTTTAATTAAAAGGGTCATTCAAGCTATAAATAGTGTAAAAAATATAAACAATGTAAAAGAATATAGAATAAAAATATTCCTGAATCTTTCACTCTAAATTCTAATCTCCAATTTAGAAGAAGTTACCTTTACGTTTTGTGCGTTTCCTTCTTCGATGCATCTATGTACATATATAGCCTTTCATACACATAGAAAGGGATTTCTGAGGAGCAGCTAGTGGATTTCAACTGCTGACCTTACAGTTATCAGTCTAGTGCTTATCCTACAGCAGTACCACACCAGGACCCCATAAGTCCTCCAGACACTTTCTATTTAGTTGATGTTACTGTGTGTCATCAAGTTGACTCTGACTCCTAGTGATCCTGTACAAGGTTTCCAAGAGCAGCTGGTGGGCTTGAATTGCTAACCTTGCAGTTAGTAGTCCAGTGCTTATCCTACAGCATCACACCAAAGGCCTTAAACTTACTTACATAATGTCAAACTGACCACTAACAAGGACTACTTCCACCAACAGGGGAAGACAATGCTCATTTCCTATATCCTCATGTTGTTTATGTTGGGCCTCGTCAAGTCAATTTTCAACATATAGTGACCCTATGTGACAGAACAGAACTGCCTGTAAGGGTCTTCTTGGCTGTAATCTTTATGGGAACAGATCGCCAGGTTCTTTCTGCAAAGTCGTTGAGTAGATTTGAATTGTCAACCTTATATTCTTGTAGACACTTGTTACTACAGTTAACGAATTAACAAAGTGACAACAAACTGCCTGGTAACCTCTTGAAGACTTGGAATCCCAACACAGTTGAAGCCAAAGCTGTGGTTTTAATAACTTAGCAGAAAAAAACCAACAACCACTCCTCGGAAACCCTATACAGAGTCTCTGTGGGTCAGAACCGACTCAGTGGCACTTAACAACAACAAATTGGGAGTCCAAAGTATAAAACTTAAACACATATGGTTGATTTTATATCTCAATGTATTCAGTGAAATGATTATTTTCTTTTAGACTACATAGTATTTAAAAAAATTTTAACAGACAAGTGCCAGAAAAGTAGTAAGATATAGAGATATTTCCTAACTTCAATTTTTGATAAAACGAAAAAGAAACATCTGCCAGTGAAAAGAGCAAACTTTCTCTACTGTTCATGGAAAATATTTCCAAATGGTAAGGTGTAAACCTTCAGAATGAATCAGGATTTTCTTTTTATTTGTCAGATGGTGAGTAGTAGTAAATTGTATTGGAGATGCTTTTAGCATTGACTCTTATTTTCCACCCTCTCCCTCTGGCAATCCAGAGGAAGGTGAAGGAAAAGAGATAGCGTAGTGGTTACAAATTGGGCTGTGAACCTCAGGGTCAGCAGGTTGAAACTACCAGCTGTTCCGCAGGAGAAAGATGAGGCGTTCTGCTCCTGTAAAGATTTACAGCCTTGGAAACCCTGTATAGGGTCGCTATGAGTAGGAATTGACTCCATGGCACATAACAACAACAACATGTAAGAATAAGAATTTAAGAATCACAGGCACTAGCATTAAAGCGAGGGGGCCATTAGCAGTTTTTATTAAGGTTGGCACTGAAGATAAGATTAGTGTTCTTCCAAGCAAAATTTAAAAAAAATCCATTTAAGGAAAAGGGGTCCTTTCTTCCTGAAACCGTGAAACAGGTGGATAAGGTTAGGCAGGTATGTAAGAGACACAGGAATTTAGGGAGCCACTGGGAATAGCAAGGTATTGTTTCATAGCATACAATTTTAACTTGCAGCTCAGAAGTAGACATGCTTGAGACATACCCAGTCCTCTTGAATGATTATAGTGGCTGGTACCAACCTTATGCTCCCACTAGACTGAGTTCACGTGTTTATTATTACACTGTATTGTCAATATTTGCTTATAAATATGTTTCGTCTGCTAACTGTGGAGGTCTTTCAAGAATGTAAACACCATTAGTGCAGGTTTGTTTGATTTTTTGGTCTGTTTAATTCACTGCTGTACCCCCAAAATGGAATCCTGGTGTGGCACTGCAGAATAAGCACTGGACTGCTAACTGTAAGGTCAGCAGTTCAACCCATTAGCCACTCCTCAGACACCTTACACAGGGTCCTATAAGGTGGAACTGACCTGGAGGCACTAAACAACAACAATTATAGTGAATTTGTAAACTTAAGGTGGCGAGACAATTTATAAATCTAATTAAATCTTTTAACAAAGCAAAGACAAAAAGAATAACTCTATTTACCTTTATGGATGAAGACGCATAGAGCATATCTTCAAGAGCAAAATGACAACACTGGTTCAGGTATTCTTGGCAAAATTCTTGAATCAGCTGCAGATTGTACAGGCTATCAGCCAAAGACATAGTTTCCTTCAAACAAATATCTTCAAATAGGAAAAGAGCAAGATTGTGTTAATTTAACAATATATATTGTTTCATATCCTCTTCATAATGAGTGACTTAGGACAAATGCACCAACACGTTGTTTAGCACATGTACACATGTAAATATATGGGCATAACACGAAAATGCACAGAAATGAAGCCTACTTTACACAACTATATTCCTTAAGAATTAGATATAAATGTTCTTTTTTTAAAAAGGCCTTCTCTAGTATTGTTGTTTCAAGCATTTCTTACCATCTTCATAGTTCAGTGGAACACTCACCCTCAAGTCTGACAACGCCAGGACAGTAAAAATGAACAAGAGCGGCTAGGGCACAGCCATCGGTACCATCCTTCAACAGATTTTCTATCAATGGGATGCAAGGTAGTTGCTTAAGCAATGTTTGCTCTTTCCTATAACGAGCCTATGATATATAAAAAAAGAGGAAAATAAATAAATACTAAACAATGTAGAAGAAAAATTGGAGAAAGAATAAATGTTTATCAAGAAAAACTTAAACTATTCACCGACACCATTCTTAGATACATAACACTAGACATTACTTTACCAAAGTTAAATATACAGCAACACTATGGTTTCAAAGTTACATAATCAATGTAATATAATATTACTGATTTATGAAATGACATTTAGCTTGAGTATGAAATAGATTGTTGAACACTACATACCCAAATCATCAATTCTGCTCTTTTGTAAATAAAACCTATTCAATATTAGGCTTAATTGAGAATGGACAGTTCAGATGTAAACACTTAATTGAGATAGTTCAGATATAAAGACCCACAGTTCTTACAGAAAGGACACTACGGGAACAGAAAGTATTACTTATCAAAATTATTGTTGTTACGTGCCATGGAGTCGGTTCCGACTCATAGCGACCCTATACAGGGTTTCCGAGACTGTAAATCTTTACGGGAGCAGAATGCCTCATCGTTCTCCTGTAGACAGCTGTTGACCTTGTGGTTCGCAGCCTGATTTGTAAGGCAGACAAAACATGAAACTATAAAGGAGATTTGGCAATAAGAAGAAACACCACTTTTAGAAATTGGTATAACCTCAGCAAAAAATTCTTGTTTATTAGTCTAATGTTGAGATAATGTAAATGAAGTGTAACTTTGCATGGGAACCACCTCTCCTGATTTAGATTTACATTAACTAATAACAGAGTACGTATAAAGATTTCTGCTGTCAGAAAAATAGGAAAAAAACCTTTGTTGTCTAAAGACTGCTTGATATGGCCGGATACAAATTTATAACAGTCATATAAAAATGAGGTAGCAGGCTGCAGTTAAGACAACAAGCTTTTCATCAAACCACCAAGGTTTAAATCCGGGTTCTGCCACATATTATTATTAACTCTGTGTTCTTGGGCAAGTTACTTAAACTCTAATTTTCAGTTTTTCTCATCTATAAAATGGCTTTATTAATAGTCCCTACTTCACAGGCTCACTGGAAGATTAAATAATAGATACAAAGTGTTATGTACATAGCAAGTAATTGCTATTATTAGAGATATGTGCTCTTGAAGCCAAGAACAATAATGCTGAAGAGTTCATGACGGTGCACACTAAAGTATTTTATTAACCAACTTTATGACTACATAGCTTATCATATTCCTTTTAAAACAAGAATCAAAATTTCCTTTTAAAGCAATCAGAATTAGTTTTTCTTTTAACTCTATATAAACCAGTCATCTCTATATTTTGTAATAAAAATAAATTTTAAGAAAACATGTTTTTCTAAGAACACAAGTAGAAAAATGAAAATGTACTGAAAAATAACATTTGTTGATAAAGTTAGATTCCTTTTGAATGCTATCTCTGAGAAAGCCATATGTATGATTACAAAAAGTCAATGGAAAAGTGCCTCGGTCTTTCCATTTCGTTTTTCCATGAACTGTTTGAAGCCCCCTCGTATTAGTGAAGAAGGAGAAACTTACTCCTATTTTCTCTCTCACTAGCTATCCAATGTTTTAAGCCATTAAAAAAAAGAAAAGAAGAAAAGCATCTTCTGACCTTAAGCTACCTTCCTCACATTTGCTAAATACTATTCCAGATCTTTACACTTTGGCCATCTATGAATAATCTGCCTACTAGAAAGTCCCAAATTAGACCGGACTGAGTCCCAAACCACAAAGATCTTCTCTAGGACTAGCCCATTTTCAGCCCACAATCCAAAATGGACTGAGTTGAATGCCCACTGTCATGCAGCAATGGACAGAGTCCTGTGCTTTGTCCTATGGGCCTCTGCCAAGCAGCACTTCAGTACGAGGCGTACGCACACAAATTCAGAGCCAAGGGTTTACACGAGAGACAGAGAATTCACTTTTACTAAAATGGTTGAAAATTAATGAAAATCCATATTCACAGTTTTATCTATTTACTGAGTCTGCCAAATTGACAAGATGAACAAAATGATGCTTACCCTTTAAATTATTTTAAAAGTCACTTCTCAACCAAACTTTGGCTAGATTTTAATCTGTTTTAATGATGATCTTAAAATCCATGATGACCTTAAAATCTAATCCCTATGCAGTGACAAACAGAAATACATAAAATGATTATATCGGCAACACATCAACAATACCATTCTACAATTACAGTTCTGGCAGCAAACTGAAGTAGCTGGGCAAACTTACTGGAACCAGTTTCCAAAACCATTTGGAAGGAGACTTCAGAGGAAGCAGCAGAAGAAAGGGAAAGCAAAAAGGTAAAGGGAAAATTCATCAGAATTATTTTCAATTAAAAAGTTGCAGTAAATCTTCTGATAATGGAGTCCCAAGTTTATAGTTTCGTATTTTGAAAATGTTAATTCATGGTTTAGTTAAAAGGTATACAGGTTAGTAATGATAAAGACCATCACATTATTGGCCTCCTGTCTCTCCCCCTGCAGAGAAATTCATTTTAGGATAACCTAGGATATGCTGTGGTATTTTGGCACAAATAATTTTCTATTCTGTAATATCGATATTACAAAAAAAATAGAAAGACTGTAAAGCAAGATTTGCGATCACTGTCTTCCTTAGATACTAATAGTCCAAGTCTGATTTGCAATCACTGTCTTTCTTAGATACTAGTATTCCAATGTCCTTGGAATAGAAGGAAAGGAAGGAGGATTGTTTAATAACTGTTAAGTATACAGTACACAGCAGCGTAGCAGAATTTACTAAGATTATCACTTCTTTCAATTATATAGCAAATTTCTTTTACTTAATGAAAGAGAAGAAATAAAACTTAGTGGGCAATTTTTACCAGTGGAAATTTTTATATAGTCATGAATATACTGAGTTTCTATTATAGCAAGTAACCACTTAGAGAAGTAGATAATAATGTTATCAATTTGACTATCTAGGGATATTCCAAAGAATATAATTTTTCTTGTTTAAACACAAAATGAATAGAATAAACTCATAATTTCTAACAATATAAACAATCTGTAGTTGTATATATTGTCAAAAATTTCTTGCAGCCTTGAATAGTATTTGTTGAACTGACCCAAAAGCTAAATGGAGTCTGAGTTAAGATTCCTATTCAACTTTTATGTAGAAAGGTTTTCCCATGTAAATTACAATGAAAATAAGACTATTCAGAAACTCAGGTATTTTTAAGAATGTCAATCATCAGAGAAACATCATCTCAAAAATTAGAAAAAACATCATGCCAACTTACTATATACATGGATAGTATTTCCAACAAATTTTCCTTATTGCATCAGGAAGATTAGTCCCAGTATTTTTTTGCATGGATTTTAATCTCCCATTTAATTAAAAGTTTTTGGCAGTCGCAGTTGTAACAGCTACAAAAACTACAGGAGCAGTACCTAAACGCAGGAAGTCCCTGAAACTATGCCAGGGCTCCCAGGGGTCTCAGTTCTCTAGTGCTGCTATAACAGAAATAGCCTGTGATGGCTTTGTTGTTGCTGCTGCTGTTGTTAAGTGTCATCAAGTTGGTTCCCACACATAGCCACCCTGTATCGGGCTTCCAAGGAGCGGCTGGTAGGTTTGAACTGCCGACCTTGTTAGTAGCAGTCCAGTGCTTATCCTATAGCACCCACCAGGATCAGAAACTTATTTTCTCAGTTTAGAAAGCTAGAATTCACTAGAAGCGCTGGCTCTAGGGGAAGGCTTTCTCTTTCCATTGGCTCTGGAGGAAGTTCCTTCTCTCTTGAGGTTCTGCTTTCAGGCTCCTCCTTGTAGAATATAAAATATTCTATTTTATATCTCAAAAGACACTGATGTAATAGACCTCCTACTTCTGGGATCTGAAAGCACATGAGCAGCAGTCTAAGGTGCAGCTAATTGGTCTCTCCGTGTGTGGAAGTAAGAAGAGCGATAAGAATTAAAGAAGCTTGGAATCATTAGTCCAAAGGACTAATGGAACATGTGAACATCAGTTTCCATGACTCTGAGACCAGAATGATACCAATTGCCATGAAAGGGATGTCATTACAGAGTCCCAGACAGAGTGGGAGAAAATGTGGACCGAAACTCAAAATTATTTAATAATAATATTAATAAAGCTTGGAGGAATCCAAGACTATGGCCTTCAACCACTCTTCAGGTCTGGAAAGGAACTCACCCATGTGGCCCAATTTTCACAAAAGCAGTAGGCAGAGAGACAACAACATTAATATACATCATAGAATGGACAATCATTTAAAATCAAAAGGGCAATGTTTTTCTAAGGACAAAGTTGAGGAAAGTGAGTGGAATGCAAATAGGAACCACAGGGGGAAAGCCGGGTATTTGTTGTTGCATGGAGGGGATTGTAAATATGGAGCTAACCCAAAATGTATGATTTGTTGAATGTAAAGCTGATGATCTTGTCTGTAAACCTTTACTTAATTCACAATAAAAAGTTTTAAAAAAAAGATCTGTCCTACCATAATCCTGCCTTGTAAACACAATAAAGAGAACCCACTGCTAAATGGGATTATAACCACAGGGACGAAGTTTAAGATTTGCAACACATAATGTGGCAGAGGCATAATTCAGTCACTAATGCCAGTGAATAGCAGAATGAAAAAACATGGATTTTCTTATTCTAAAACACTAAAAGACTCCACTACATACAACCCAGTGATAACCAAAACTCAACAACATAACAGAGGACTCGTAAGTGGAGGGTTCAAGTCGCTCCACAGTCATTACAAAATACTCAATAACAGAATTTTTACTAACTCGGGCTACTCTGACATAGTCCAGAAAGATAATGTTCTACATCCTACTTTAGTGATTAGTAACTGGGCTCTTAAAGGCTCATGATCAGTCATCTAAGGTACAAGTATTGGTCTCTCCCTGTGCAGAGTAAAGAAGAGTGATGAGAACTGAAAATGCTTGCAATCAATCAGTCCAATGAACTAATGGAAAAGTGAACATCAGTCTCCACACCTCCGAGACCAGAA